AAACATAATAGCTCCAGTTTGCATTTGTTTTTTCCGGTAAGCTAGTTTGCTCTGCTAATGTTTCATAGCAAGTCACAAAATGTGTTTATGTTGACGTTAGAGTGAGCTAAGGAGCTGAGCTAACGTTAGCATGCTGCTAAATACATATTTTCAAATAGCGTCGTCCGTGTCTGGCATTGGAATTTCAGATTTATGTGCCTCATTACCCATTTCTTTTACATTTTACATAAGAAAACAGAAAAGACTTAGCGAACTTTGTTCGCTTTTGTGCTGTCCGCTGCAGATTTGCTGGCTAGTGATGTCTGGAGAGAGGCTACCCAACGGCTTCAGCTCGACCCCTCTCAAAGACTTCCATCCATCAAAGGACTTTGGCGACGGAATCCTATCCGACGAAGAAGACACTTTTTCTCTGCTTTCTCCAATCTATCATGACAGCTTCGACAGTGACGAAGAAGAACTGAGATCCATCCCAGATCAGCAGACCACTTCCCCCAGAGAGAGGGATGACACCAGGCTCAGTATTTCACCATTCAGGTGCTGCCGTAAAGCTTTAGTTCAGCTTTAGTTCTGGCTTGTTTGCGGCATAGCTCATTTTATATCTGCGTTTATTTTATAGATGTGAGCTACCAAAAGCGATTTCGGAGCAGCCTGCAGCTTCACCTACCCTCAGTGCGTGGGAAATGTGGTTGGTGAATAAAGTAAAAGAGGACCGTCTTAAGCAGGAAAAGAAAGTAGAAAAGGCATGCAGTCATTAGTCCCATCCCCATAATGGAAAAGTGTTTTTATTCTGATTGTAATTTGTTGTAGTGACCATTTCACCCCAATAAAAGCTCTGTGTGTCCCGTATATTAGGAGCACTTAATAAAAGAAAGAAAAGAAAAACAAGAACAGGAGCAGGAACAGAAAAAGCTCATCATGGAAAAGAAGATCCAAGAATGGCTAAAACTTAAAACAGAACAGGTAAACAACTTCTTAAGTAAAATTGTTGTGTTGATCTTCTTATCTGCTACTCTACAGTCTTTTATGTTTCTTGTTATAATTCTAGGAGAGACATGAGCAACTTCTTAAACAAAGAAAGGAGGAGGAGGAGATGCAGAGGCAGCAGGAGAGACGGCGCGCGACTGAACAGAAAGCTCAACGAAAGTACAAAGACTGGCTGCAAAGAAAGAACCAAGAAAAAATAGAAAAGGAAAAGAAGGAGAAAGTAATCAGGCTCTCGTTCAGCTGTCTCTTCTTTTTTAAATACCAAATGGTTTCTCAGAGATTTCTTTTGTATCTTTTTGACAGGAGGAAGCCTCCCTGAAGGAGGAGCAGGAGATGGAGCGGCGTAGGAGGGCTGAAGAGAAGTTTAAGGAATGGCTGGCAAAGGCCAATGAAAAAAGCAAAGCTAGTCCCAAAAAGCCCAGCTATCCATCAAGTATGTTTATTTGAAT